GTAAGACACTTTAAGCTGACTAACTAAGGCAAAGACATGATACTAACAAGGGGTGGGTTAGTCGACGGCGTGATGTCTTATGCAGAGATTCCGAGGGCCTCATCATCAGTAGAATAGAGAGGTGTGAGCTCCGAAATGCAAAACCCTCAGCCATACCATGATGTCTACTATAGAGTAGAAAATGGGTATACAAGTATACTCATTAAAGAAAAGCAATAAACTTGATAGCTTAAGCCTTTCAGTGATATACAATTAGTATGATTTAGTTGTTAGTATGGCACTGAACTAATTAGCTTAACCTTCGGATGTTTCCATTGGCAGGTTAGTAGATTGAGCAGCCGAGGAGTTGTATACTGACCGAGGACCATATCAGAGCATATTAGAGTACGTCTCAGCGTTTTTAAAGGGCATGTATATTTGTAAAACATTATTGTCTAGTTAAGTTGTAGATTTAATTTTAAGTTGGTCTGTATTATTTTGGAGCTCCCCAGTGTAAAGTTTTTATTATATTATATTTTTTTTATTTTATGGTTGCTTTAAAGTTAGAGTAAGTAAGAAAATATTGGTTAGCCACTTCGGTGGTTCCGTATAGCACCCTAATTGATCGACTGTGTGTTGTACTGGTTTAGGGTGTTACATTTAGTTGTATTAGACCAAATGTTTAGGTATTCCTATGACTCGCGAGTCAGTGTCGATTAGTGTCGGTAAAGAGTTTATGAGCATACATGCACTAAAGAGTTATGTCGTACTCATGTATTTGCAATAGTAGTAGTAGTAGTAAATCCTCATTTTCTTCTTAATCTCATATCTTAGATATGGGTGAGAGCCCAGGCCCAGTAGAGAGGGTAGAGAAGAGAGTAGAGCTTCTTTAGCTTATGATTCAGGAGATGAGTTCGTCCCAGACTCTGAGCATGGAGAGCCTAGAGACGCAGGGGTCGATAAAGCGGCATTCTTTAGAAATTTAACCTTTACCTTGAGGCAAATAGTAAGAGCCAATCCCCAGACACCTACTACCCCACCTGTTCAGCTAACCCAACTAGTTCCTCCAGTAATAGCACCTCAGGAAACCACAGCAGAGAGGCTCCGGAGGTATCGGATCACCAATTTCTTTAGGTCAGGAGATGATGATCCAGTCGTAACCGACCAGTGGTTAAGAGAAACCTTTAGGACTCTTCGTTAGCTGCATCTCACACATGAGAGAATGTTAGTGTGTGTCATCTTCTTGCTGAAATATGACACGATTAATTAGTGAGAGACAATGAAAATGTCGTTAGAGCCTGAGCGACCTACTTAGGATACATTCCTAGAGGAGTTTCAACAAAAGTATGTTGGAGTGGCCCACATGGATACAATGAAAGATTAGTTCGCTCAGTTGACCCAAGGGAACATATCAGTATTTGAGCACGAGGTAAAGTTCATCCGATTGATTATGTACATCCCAAAGTTAGTTTCGTCTAAGTATTATCACTACAATAAGTCTCCGACTGGATATCCTAACTCAGTTAGCTGTCAATCTATCGCGAGTTTCCGTCGAGCTAGTTCGTCAAACAAAGGCAGTAGAGAGAGTGTTCAGAATGAGAGCAGTAGAAGGTTCTACCTCTAGTCAGGGTAGAAATATGGTCGAGTAAGCATAATCATCCTCACCATCCAAGAGGGCGAAGAAGTCTTAGGGGTTTAGGAGGGACCCATCAGGTCAATCTAGTAGATCGGCACAGAGTTTGGCTGGGAGTGAGAGTAGGTCTAGTTAGCATAGGAGGCCATTGTCTACTACATCAATGGCTAGTTTTAAAGATCGTCAAGCTCACCTTCTCAGCCCAATTGTTCTCGTTGTGGTAGGAGACACCCAGAAGTTTGCAGTTTTGGGACTCAGGGTTGTTACCATTATGGATCTTTGGATCATTTTCTTTGAGATTGCCAAAAGCTCAAAATGAAGCTCCAACTTTGACACAACAGTCAGATCCGACAGTTCAGATTGTAATACCTCGAATCCCTGGTCATTAGTTATAGTCAAATCAAAACCCGTAAGCCGAGCCCATTAGATTTCCTAGACCAGTTCTTAAGAGTATTGGGTCTAAGGTAGACCCAAGAGTTAAAACTGAGTGGTGGTTTTAAGTTGGGTTTAAAAATTGAGGAACCACAAGTGTAGTTTACCCATAGCTTATTTTAAATGATAAAAACTCCTTAAACCAAGTGATTTTTACGCGAAAACGAAGCCTCCCAAAATTATCTCATTTTCTCTTTCCTTTTTCCTTTCCAAGATCAAGCAAAGGTAGAAGCGTTAAGAATTCCAAGTCTAGTTTGGAGCAACCAAGGTAAAAATCCTAATCCTTACCCTTCAAGCTTCATTTTGAACCCTAAAAATATATTTTTAAGAAAGTTAAGAGAATCAAGGGATTCGAGTTTATTTAGTAAATTTGAGTTTTTTGGAGCATCCTTAACCTTGTTTTAAGCTTTAAATAATTTAGTAAACCTCTTTTCTTATCTTTAATTATCTAAAGAGGTGGGAGAAAGTTCAAGAGCCAGAGGTAAGGAGAAAGTGAATCCTAGTTGATTCGAGAGAAATTCTAGCAGCTCAGAAGTTAGGTAACACACTCACAACTTCCTTATACCAGTTGTAAATCATTATAAATGTGTTTTAGCTAGAAAGTGAGTTGAAACATGTTTAATAAGTTTTCATGGTGATTTTTATAGATTATGTTGTTAGCTTGTATTAAAGCCTTCTTATGACCCCTAATGATCAAATAAGACTTAATAATAAATGGGAAACCTCTAAGTAGGAAATTTGAGAAGTTTGAGAGGTCATTTCGAGGCTAAATAAGGCATTTTTTAGCAGGGTATCGGTATTGTATGAGTCAGTATCGATAATGTTCTTCAGGCAGTATAAAAATTTCTTAAGTTTAAAGAGAGTATCGATTCTCTCAAGATGAGTATTGATACTACAAGGTTCGTATCGATGCTCATGTATCAATACCGGATTTGCACATCAGATTCCAGTAGCCATTTTTGGTATCGATACTTCCTTTTTCTTTCAATGCATTTCAGCAGGGGTATCGATACCTTTGGATAAGGTATCAATACTGAAAGAGTGTATCGATACTGTAAGGCCAGTATCGATACCCAGGGTTATGTTTGGGCTTTAATTCAAGAAGAGTTATAGAAGCAAGTGAGGTTTCCCAAAAGATTGTAATTACTCTCAAATAAGACTACAAGTGAGAACACTAGTAATGTTAATTCAAACGTAGAAACGAGATAAAGCAGAATGAAATAATACTAGTCTTGTTTGAATGCTCGGGAAACGATCAGGACATCCGAGTTCATTTAGAAAAACTAGCAGTGTCGAACGTATAGGTTTAATACGGATATATCCTTAAGGAGTGCACAAGGCAGTTTAAGCTGACTAACTAAGGCCAAGGCCTGACACTCACAAGGGGTGGGTTAGTCGAGGGTGTGGTGTCCAATGTAGAGATTTCGAGGGCCTCATCCTCGGTAGACTAGAGGGGTGTGTGAGCTCTAAGATGCAGAACTCTCAACCGCACCATGATGTCTACCATAGAGTAGAGAGTGGGTATACAAGTATACTCACTAAAGAAAAGCAATAGACTTGATAGCTTAAGCCTTTTAGTGATATACAATTAGTATGATTTAGTTGTTAGTGTGGCGCTAAACTAATTAGCTCAGCCTTAAGATGTTTCCGTTGGCATGTTAGTAGATTGAGTAGCCGAGGAGTTGTGTAGTGACCGAGGACTAGATCAGAGCATATCATAGTACGTCTCAGCGCTTTTAAAGGGTATGCATATTTGTAAACATTGTCCAATTAAGTCGTTGATTCAGTTTAAAGTTGGTATGTATTATTTTATAATGTAAATATTTTATTTTGAAGCTCCCCAGTGTAAAGTTTTTATTATATTATATTTTTTATTTTAGGTTGATTTAAAGTCTAAGAAAATGTTGGTTAGGCACTTCGGTAGTTCTGTGTAGCACCTTAATTGGTCGAGTGTGTATCGTACTAGTTTAGGATGTTACAATAACAGTCAATATTCCATTTTATTGGTCAAATAATTAAATTAGTTTTTTTCAATTTAAGAGCCACAATAAGTGTTAAAAAATCAAGAATACATTAATTTATTTAGAAAATTTGAAGGTGTAAGATACCATTAAATCATTAAATTTTAATATAAAAAGAAACTTTCTTGTTTATATTTGAACAGATAAAATACCTTTGGGGGTGGAGAGAAGGATATTTGCAAGGAAGCTTCATCAAGTGCTGAATGATCTCATATATATATATATATATTTAAAATTGTCAAATTAATCCAACAATCATGATGGATTAAAAATGAAAGTGGAGTTTTTTTTAATTATAAAATTGGAGACCAGGCATAGCATTATTAAGGAATCCACTAAGAGATTAGTGGGTTTAATCAAATAAAAAAACATTTGGATATTATGGGATTTAAGACACAACAGGGGATTTGGGATATCTTGCAAAGTGGCAACCCCTTTCCTACCATGTAGATTACGTCCCCTTGCTTCTTTGACTTTTTTGTAAATCATTTATTATTATAATCCCCTCTTTGAGAATGGAATATTTGTTTTAAATGTGCAAGAGTTACACCTAATTGATTGTCTTTAATCTGGTTTACAAATTGGTTTGCAGACCATAGAATTCATCGTTTAAATTATACAAATGAACATACTGAATCCTCTTTGATTTGAGAAAGTTTGAAGTGTATCTACTACCAAATGGACAATTTTATTATTAAACCAGTAGGGATTTTTTTTCAATATTATATTGAATTATAGGCGGCTTCTCTTATCTGACTTTTCTTTTTCTTTTTTGTTTTGATTTATTTTCTTTTTGACCCATGTTAAAGTTTATGCTGTTCATGATTATTATAAAATTATTCCAGTTTTAGATGCATTGAAAACCTTAGATTGGAGAGTTTATAAAGGTAGACAGGCCGGACAATTCATAGTCATAGGCTCTTTTGATACAATTTTCAAGAGAGATGGAGAATTATACATGTGCGGAGAAAAAAGTTAGGTTGTTCGGGTTCGAGCTCGATCCGAGTACTAACAATGGTTGCTCCGTGAAAGTTTGTGTCGAAGGAGACGAGAGTGTGAATTCGTCCGCTACGGAAACATTTAAGGAGAAAAGCTCGACGACGACTGCGGAGGGCGACGACAAGAAGTTCGAGTGTCAGTATTGTTACAAGGAGTTTGCCAACTCGCAGGCGCTCGGAGGACATCAAAACGCGCACAAGAAAGAGAGGATAAAGAAGAAAAGGCTGCAACTTCAAGCCAAGAGAGCCAGCCTCAACTGTTATCTTCAACCTTTCCGAAACAGTCTAGGTCTCGGCTCTCTGTGGTACTACGATGCGGCTCCCTGTTACGGTACCGATTCCGGTCCTTACGAACAATCTCAGATAAGTTTTGGTCAATTCGAGCACGACGGGTATGTTAATGGCTCGAATCCGTCGAAATGGCACGCTTTGCAGTCCCAGATGATCCCTTTCCAACAAGTTTCATCCATGTTCACGTTAATACAAGGTGACAATCATCACAGATCGAGGGGAAAAGGGCATGTTTTCAAGCCTACGTCTTCATCTTCATCGAAGCGAAGCTGTAAATCATTGGATCTTCAGTTAGGCCTCAGCTTGCAGTCTACGATACAGAGTTCCTCTGGTGGTGGCATGTAGCACGTACATATACACTGAGGCATCGTACGTACCTGTGTCAAATATGTATATCCATACCAAATACTTATCCAACAAAGACGCAAACACGACACGTATCCGGTAGTGCTTGATAAGACATCAAAAAAGGAACATAAAACAAATATAAGGATATGTTTGAACACAACTGAAACATGTCTGGACAAGATCCAATATAGAATGAGAGTTTTTTTTTTTTTTTGTATTTTTTTCTTTCTGGCATGTCTTGCATGGAACCCTAATTAATAGTATATTATTTATTACTTGGAGTGATTGTCAATGTACAACTTGCACATTTTTTTAGAAAGAAACAGTAAACTTTTCCAGAAAATTGCACTTTTACCAATTGTCAATAGATTCAATATCAGTTCACCTGCAATAAGCTAGTTTTGTTAATTAGGAATGACTGAGCCTTTAGCTGATGATACAAGTTTTTTTATTTCAAGGGTTATCTATCATTGAACAAGATGAACCATCTTTTAATTAATTGCTGCAAAATACAAAAGTTGTCCTCAAAGTTCCAGTAGACAACTTATCCATTAAATGCAGAATTTGTTCAGTTCTGAAATGATTTGTCCTCCATTTCTTACAAAACAAGTTAGATCTACACTATTTTTCTTTTCCAGCACTTAACATGAGAAATTTAATTATTCAGCGTAATTATATTTTTCTTGTCCAACACTAATTTTCTTTTCCAATTTATCCCATAACACTTTAATTAGCATCGTCAGAATATAAACAATATCAGCAGTCTAACCAAATATAATACTACTAATAATGATAGTTTATTAGATGCGTAAAGGAGGGTGGTGTATGATTGTATACTCCACCTATTTATTAATAATTTTAATTAATTAAAAATGGCATGTATTAACCTTTGTCACCTTGCTTATATAAATAATTAAATTCTTATACTATATAGTATAAAGAAAATAGATAAAGCACGTTAGCTATACCCATATTATACTATATAGTATGTAATCGATTACTTAAAATAAATTCTTATGTAATATAAAATTTATAATACCAACAAAAAAATGTCGTATATGTTTAACAAATTTTAAATACATTTATATTGATTTTGGTCAATTCGGTGCTTGTTTAGAAAGTTATCTTATTAAACTCAAGTTTGTTTTACTACAATATTTTTCCTTTAAAAATAAATTTCTAGTTACATAGCGTAACTTCTACAAAAACCTTATAGTATTATAAATGGACGTACTTGATTTTAATTTATAGTTTAGTGCAACTGATTGGTATAATATTATTTTAGATCGTTAAAATGTGCATGACGTAAATGAGAAAATTTAATTGGAAGGTTTTTTAAGGATTTGAACAGTCTTTGTATAGAGACTATACACATATGCCATCTATTTTCTTTTTCTTTTTTTTCTTAAAAAAAACATGTGTCTTACATTAAATAAACTTGCAATGCATATTCTTCCATATCCGGCATTAAAATATTAAAAGTGATAGTGGTACGTATACGTTAGCATTAGGGGTGTTAAGAAAAAAATTGAATCCGTTAACCATAACAGTTAACCGATGTAATCGTTTATTTAATAGGTTAATTAACTGAACTATTAATATTAAACGGTTTTGATTAATCGAACTGTTAAAAATTATGATTAACGGTTAAGGTTGCAGTTACGAATTTTGATAAATGGTTAATCGTTAATAAATTAAATTTATAATTATATTTCGAATTTATTATATTTTTACATAAATAACTTAATATAGTTCTATTATTTATAATTTATATATATATTTAATAAAATTTGTATACAAATAACTTAATATTTATTTTTTATTTTTTTATTTCCTTGAAAATATAGAAGCATTCTTACATCAATATAATTATATGTTTATTGTTAGGTACTAAGATATTGTGAGATATACATACTTACATCGGTGTAAGTATGTGTTAAGTGTTACACTTTTTTATTTTATTTACTTACACCGTTGTAAGTATGTGTTAAGAGATACAATTTTTATTTTATTCACTTACACCGGTATAGTATGTGTTAAGTGCTACATTTTTTATTTTATTTACTTATACCGGTGTAGTATGTGTTAAGTGATACACTTTTTTGTTTTATTCACTTACATCGGTGTAAATATGTGTTAAGTACTACACTTGTTTATTTTATTCACCTACACCGGTGTAAGTATGTGTTAAGTGATACACTTGTTTATTTTATTTACTTACACCGGTGTAATATGTATTAAGTGCTACATTTTTTTTATTCACTAACATTGGTGTAAGTATGTATTAAGTGTTACACTTGTTTATTTTATTCACTTAAACCGATGTAAGTACGTGTTAAGTGCTACATTTTTTGTAGTATGAATTATGAAAAAAAAATTGACAAATAATTTTAATAGGTTAACCTGTAACCGAATCGTTAATAACGGTTAACCGTTTCTTAATAATTAGGTTGCGATTAAAAAAAATATCATAAACGTTATAACGACTAACCGACCGTTTAGGTTAAACGGTATTGTTAAACGTCCATAAACGGCCCTAGTTAGCATGGAACCAAATTGTACAATGGAACAAAATTGTAGAGGGCAACAGAAATTGTTGGGCACCCATGTGAACCATGTGCCATTTAGGCCTTGGAATTGTGGGCTCTCTTACTATATGTAAATGGAAATTATTGCATGTATTGAAAATGGTTTGGTTGGATTGGATCCTCATTTATGAGGGAACACATTTAGCCGGTTAGTTGTTTATTTTTGTTTTCTTATTTTTTTAAAAATTATGAATTTTAGACTCATTAAAAGCATTTATTTCCTTACTTTTAAAATTTCTCTATTTTCCACCTTTTTAAATAAGATCTTGATTAGATTTAGAATTTATCAAATCATCCCGTAATATAAGGATGTAAGGGATGTGTTTTGTGGGATTCATCTTGTTTCGTATTTAATGGATGTAAGGGATGGGTTTTGTGGGACTCATCTTGTTTCATATTTAATTGGATGGAAATGATAATAGGTTTTATGGATAGTGAGATGGGATAAAGAAAATTAGGTTTGATGAAAATCAGGCCCGCTTCTAAGATTTTAATGGCATATGGAGAATATAGAAATTAGGCCCTTAATAACAAGTATTGAAAAAACTGAATCATAAGAACAAACAAAATTAAATAAATTTGCTTGTAATTTGATTTTTTATTATGTTTAATAAATTATCTAATAAATACATTAAATTTTGAATAGAAAATAATAAGAAATTTTATTAAACACCAAATTACTTATACAAAACAAGCATGATCCTCTTTTAAAAGGGTATATGCTAGATTTTAATCTTCTTCATCTTGTCAAAAAAAGATAATAAAAAAACAATTAAATGAAAAGTAAAAAAGTAATTTAAAAATACCACATGAACATTGTTTGTTAAATTTCTAATGGTGAATACTAAAAGAAGAAACAAAATGTAAGATTAAATATGATTTTGAAAAAAAAATTAATGAATAAGACAAAATTAAAATAATAAGTCAATGACTATATAAATTATTATTATTTTTGGACCCTAAGGCAAGAGAGGCCCTGGGCAAGTGCCCCTCTTGCCCATGGTGAAGGACGGGCCTGATGAAAATATGGGAGTATAAATTTCTACTCAGCTTATATAATTATTTATATTTAGATATTATGTAAAAAAATTATTTTTAAAATTATTTAACTTACGTTGAAGTTATATTTTAATTTTACATAATCTTAAAATATATCCTTAACATTTAACTAAATAATCATTTTGTCTTTTATTATTTTCTCTAGTATTTTGACCTTCAATATTTTATTTAAGGACAAATGCTCTCTAATGTTTGACTAAACAATCACTTTAGCTCTTATTTTTTTGGGGAGTATTTTGGCTCACGAGGTTTTATTTTAGAGGGGAAATCCTATTTTAAAGCGTTAATCGTTTGTTGACTAAATTTTTTTTTCTACGGAGGGACCTTTTTACCTAAAAAATGAAACAACTAGGGATAAAATGCTTTAAAAAAGAATAGGGCCCGAAGTGATTATTTAGTGAAATGTGGAGAGTATTTTTTGTTATTACGTCTTTAATTTATCAATTAAAGTGTCTAGACGACTTATTATTTTTTAAAATGGTGATTGTTAAAATAATGTTACATATGTGGAGGACCACAGGACATATTTTATACTTTTTTGATAAAAATGATTTATATTAATTTAACTTATAAGAACTCATTGAGTGATTTTAATAGTAAAAGGAAGTGTTATTTTCTGTGAAGATTCTGAGTTTGAGAAATTACATATGTAGAGTGTGTATAGCCAATAGTTAAGAATTTTTTTTAACAAATATTATCTTATAATCACATTATATTATTAAAATAATTATATTACATGAAGGGGGTCACAAGACAAATATAAAAGGGATTAGGTATATCTTATTACCCACGTAAAAGATTGAACAATAATAATTTTAATCTTATAAACGTGGGGTAAAAATACTTTTAAATTTTATACTCTCACCATATCATATAACGAAATAAAAATCTTGACAGAATAAGTACACATTAAAAACACCGTACACTCGTACCCCCCCCCCCCATTGACATCCTAATAAAAACATTTAAAAGAACTTGCGTTAACACACATATTCAACACTTCCGAAAAAAATATTATAAAACGTCCAAATAATTGCACTATAAAATTTTAGCCCAAGTGCATAAAGTGCCTATCGTTGGCCATCAAATTCAAGTTCAAGTGGCCCAAATATTTATCTTTGACCATCAAATATTTAAGTCGAAGTGGATCAAAAATCCTAGTCCAGTGATTACAGACCACAAAAAGTTTAAGCTCAAACTGAGCGTAAAACTTATGAAGATTCTTCAATTCTTTTTTATTAAGTTAAAGTGATTACAAAGTATTATATATTTTAAATATTATAAACTATTTAATAATGAACATTTAATCACCATATGATTCCTTTAACCACTAAAGTATGTTGGTTCGTGAAAAATACTTGTAGATTTTGGTAAGAAGAGGTTGCATGCAATATTTCATCTTCGAAAAAATACCATATATAATATAATATAATATACTCAATCAATTGCTAAACAAGTTAATTGGAAGACAATGATTTTTAAGCTTTGTTTTTGCAGGATCACGACTTCACATTTTCTCCGAAAAATGAAGCCCACCTTCATACACCGGATTTTACCAAATATCATATCTATTTGCATATTTTCATTACCGG